GCGAGGGGCGCGCTCATGGAGCACACGCACGCCCACCTCGTAGCCAACACCTCGCTGTCCTGGTCCCCCGGCTCGGCCTGCGGCTTGGGCTTCGTGCCCGTGGTCTACTACAGCCTCTTGCTGTGCCTCGGTTTACCAGGTGAGGGGCGTGGGGCGAGGGAGGGAAGCCAGGAGCCCCGAGCGCGGCGCGACCCTGCCCGGAACCCCCAGGCGTATCCGCCTTCCCGGTGTGGTCCCTGGTGCCCCCCCGCTGAAAAGTTTAAACCTTGAGGACAACTGCGGACATTTCCCCACTGGGGGGAAAGGAAGTTGCGGTGGCCTGGCGGGGCCAGCCCGTGTGCGCGTGTGTGTGTGCGCGCGTGTGCGCGTGTGGCTTCGCCAGTGTGCGCGGCCGGCGAGGGGCCGGCGGGGGTGCGCCTCCACCCCCGGGGTGTTGGTGGGTGCCGTGTGGCCGTCTAAAAGGATCGGTGTCGGCGAAAGGGTCCGATCCGGGCTTGCGTGTGACTTCACTGCATGTTCTGATGGCTGGTGGCGGCTTCACTTTGCCGGTGCCCCACCCCCACCCCAGTCTGGGGGCACTTCTGTCCGGCTGGGTGTCCCCTCGTAATCAGAGATGAAGTGGGAGACTCTGATGCTGGGCACCGTCTCGCTGGGATGGGGTGAGGTGGGGGTCCCGGTGAAGAGGTCTGGGAAGCAACAAGGAATGAGTCCTTCTGCCCTCCCAGAGGAAGGGTCTTGGGCACCTGTCAGGAGAGTGGGGCGACTCTCTCAGGGAGAGTGCAGAGGCACACGGAGCAGCTGCAGAGAAGGCCACTTCAGGGGGTCCAGTCTCCTTGGCGGACTCTCGCCCAGCTTTGCCTCTTTCCACCCACCCTGCAGATGTCTGGCTGGTCCCACCTCCTCTCCAAAGTGTGACCCAGACTTGTGCTGAATTCCTGAAGAGAGCTGGGCTGCTGGGGGTGGGGAGGAGGGGGTGCAGCAGGGGAAGGGGCTGCCCTGGGGCTCCAGATCCAGATGGACCCTTCTTCCAGAGAGTCACTGAGACGTCTCTGGCAGAAAGCTTCCTGAAGACCACTTCAGGCAGATGGGAGATAGAGAACGAGAACGAGGGAGCAGACGGAGCAGAAGGGAGAACAATGTGCAGCCGGGAATCTTAGCACCCCCTGCCCCATCCACTTCAGCATCCCAGAATCTGGCGACTTGGGCACCCGGCTTCTGAGACCCCTGCCGAGATGTCCTTTTTCAAACATTCCACCTGGTGGCCAAGACCCTGATGAGGTCCAGGTCATATAAATTAACGCCCCCCTCCCAGATTTATCAGGCAGAGAAAGCAAAGTTTCCTAAGGTTCAGCAACACCCCCCACCCCACCCCCCAAGAGGCCAGGCTTTGGTTATTAACCAGTCCCTCTGGCTGCCCAGGGAGGGGCATTCAGCCTCTGATTCACCCGCTGGGATGGCAGCACCTATCCTATAATCACCTCCAACTGGCATTGATTTTCATCCACTTCCCTCCTCCCCCCTCCAAACCCCTGAACCTCTCCCAGAACTCTCTTGGGGGGAGCGTTTTTTGAGGTTGGTTATTGGTGACACTTGCTGACCCAGAGAAGCCACAGGCCAGCATGTATCTGTGCCCCTCCCCACTACTCCATGGCCCCCACTGTCCCTCAAGGGACAGAGACATAAAGACTGGGGGAGGCTGACCCTCCCGGGGTCCAAAGGAGGGCACCTGAGGATGGGGACAACAAGGGAAAGCTCAGACCTTGCAACACCTCCAGGTTCTCACCTTCACAGTCCAATTCCTATGGCAACGAGGCCATCCTGAGTCACAGTATTGGCACCAGCTGTATGCCTGGCATTGTGCAAAGCACAGGCTTTGCTCAAGGCTGAGCCTAGGGCTTGGGCACTTAGAAGAGTGAAGGACTGGGATTAGAACTTGGAAGGTATCGATGTGTTTATACACTCAACAGGATTTCCACGCACCTACTGTGTGCCAAGTGCTGAGGCAATGCCAGGTGCAGTCGCTGTATTCAGGGATCTCATACAAGCCTATGATTTGAGTGGCAGCAGTGGCTAGAGAAGGACCAAGGATTCTAGTGAAGCATGATTGGGCAGACCAGGCTGGTGTGAAGGTCAAGGGCTTTTGTTAGCGCTTGCAAGGTGATTCAAAGGTGAAAGACGTGAGCCATCCCCTGAACATCCTAAAAGCAAGCAAGGCAGTCCTGGTGACTAAAGAGAGGCAGAGCTGGGTGTTAATTTCTGGCTCCTTGGTGTCTCTGTGCCTCAGTTTCCCCAGCTGTATAATAGGCATTATGAAACTATCTACTCCCTGCAGTTGTAAGAAACAGCAGTGTGGATGGAGGTGACGTGCAAGGATAACGCGCAGCCCAGTGCCTGCTCCCCCCCCCACACACACACACTGTCTGCTTCTCACCAGCTGGTTGGGTTGTGCAAGGAGGGGGCTGCCGGTGACCCAGAGGAGGGGCTGGGAGACTCGTGGAGAAAGCGCTTGACTCTGCTGCTGAGCTCTCCCGGAGCTCACTCCAGTCTCTCCCCCAGCCCTAGCCCCCAGCAATTAGCAAACCCTCATTACACAGCTATGCTGGGTGTGGAGGAACAGACCGCAGGGCTCAGGATGATTGTTGAAAACTGAGATTTTAATTGAATCACTTTTCCTGGCAGTGGACTCACCCCTTTTCCAAATTCTCACCTCAGTGGTCAGAGGCTGGGTGGGAAATGAGGACGGACAGGGAGTGGTGTTCTTGTTAACTGGGGGTAGGGAGAAGTTTCTTAACACCTTGTCTTAAGGAAAAGCTTAAGAAAGGCCATGTGGTCCAACCCTGCCTCTAGGAATCGCCCCAGCCTAGTTGAAGCAATCTGCAGTAGGACCCAGAGTTTCACATGTGAAGCACAGGCATCGCTCTGCCACTGAAGCGTCCTTAACATCTCTGTATCACAATCGAGCCCATCTGTAAAAATGGAGTAACGATAGTACCTACTACCCACAGGGGTAGTAGATTTTATATAATATAATCTACAGAGACGTGGCTTAGCACAGTACTTGGGCTAGGAAAACACTCCATACTCAGTGCCTACTCCCCATCCAGTCTTCTTTCTGTGTCAATTCCCCATGATTCCCTGTGACCAGTACATGTTCCTGAAACCCTTTTATGGATTCAGAAAGGTGGAGCATCTTGTCTGCAGTGACACAGCCTATACTCTGGTTTCTCTTATGATCACATAAATCTTCCACCTTTTATAGCCACACAGCCTAACCAGCATGCAAACCCCTGCTCTTTCCACTGCACACGCTGGCTTCGTTACCGCCAAAAGTTCTCTTAACTAGCTGTGTGCTCGGTGGAGAAAATTGGTGTCCTGGCTGTTCCTAATACCCCATCTCTTTCCTCCTCCTTTTAAGCATGTACGATATTTCTACACTTTCAAAACTTGGTTCTAACTTTGCAGCAGAGTTGGGGACAGTGCTTGGGGCCAGTTGGGACAAGACGGTGCAAAGCAGAAGGTAGTGTGGGAGGAAGAGCTAAGCCTTGAGGCTTGGGGAAGAAAACAGGATGGAGGAAGGGTGAGCCTGCCTGGTAAGAAAGGAGCAGTGCAAAATTAAACTGAGATTCCAAAGATATTTTTTAAAATTCCCTTCTAAAAGGCATCATGGATGTTAAGGAAGAAGATAGCCTGGAACTGTTTGCCATGCAGCACACCACACAACTGCCGAGCGAGCATAATCCTTGCCTCTGAGGGCTGATGCAAGATGAAAATGAGGAATCTGGAGCCTGGCAGGTAGTAGGGTTGGTGTCCAAGCTTTAATCTATAAGCCATGACCACAGGCAGTGACTTCAATGTCTCTGGGCCTCAGTTTTCCCCATTTGAAAAGTGAGGATGATGGTGATAATGCTATACATCTTTCATAAGGCTCCACTGAGAGTAAATGAGTGAAGCACTTAGTACAGTACCTCACACACAGTCAGCACTCTGTGAGTCGTTTTTGTCATCTGAAAATTAGCCAAATTAAGGAACATTCCTAACTCATTTTATGACATCAGATCTTAGCTTAATGTCAGGCAGGAAAATGACAGGCTTATTTTCCTCATCAACATAGATGCAAATCCCTCAAAGCATTAGCAAATCTAATCCAACAATGTATAAGAAAGATAATACAACAAGACTAGCTTGGGTTTACCCCAGGAATGCAAGGCTGGTTCAATATTTGAAAGTCATTCAGTATGACTTTTTCCGTATTTCTACGTTCCCTTGAAAATCTAAAAGAACTGACAATATTAGATCCATAGCCCCCAGAGGGTAGCAATTGTCAAGAGCTGAAGAACTGACTACTTTTCCATTATAATTGTGTGTGCATGAAATAGGAAATGACATTTGTATTATTCAAAAACCTAAAAGTGTTAGAAGACAGGCATAGCAAAAGCTCCCTCCTATCCCTCTTCCCTGTTCAGCGATTCCCTACCCCCTCATCACCATCACCACACAGGTAACCATTTCATTAACGTCTCATTTTCTTATTTATCCATTCAGGGTTCTTAGTGTATATGCACAAGCACATAAGAGGATTTCAATGCTCCCTTTGTTACCCTGTCCCAAATGAATGCCTTATACATCCTAGAGTGCATCTTGCTCTTTAACTTAATATTTTCATCATCTGTAACAGTGCATAGGAAGCATTTTCATTCTTTTATAAGGCTGTATACTATTCCATTGCATACAGTCACGCACTACTTAACATGTCAGTCAACAATGGACCACATATGACAGTGGTTCTGATAGGCTATACCATATGGCCTAGCTGTGTAGTAGACTATTCCATCCAGGTTTGAGTAATTATAGTCTATGACATTTGCATCATAGCAACATGATCTAGTGATGCATGTCTCAAAACATATCCCCATTGTTACGCCATGCATGACTGTACTTGTTCTAAACTTTATTTAACAATCATCCCTTTTAAAAGTTGAGTTGGACCAACTGAAACAGTCCCTACATGGTGCACCTAATTTTTCTCTGTAGCCTGTGAGACCCCTCTTTATGCACATTTGACCTAAGACTTCCTTCTCACAGGGGAACGAGGAGTGCTGGATTCCAGAGGTAGCTCTAGCAATAACCCCCTGTGTGGCC